CAATGTAAACTCAAGGGAGATGTGTCTCACCCAGAACCCCAGTCCCGCTTTTGTAAGCTGGCGGTCATAAGATGTAACGAGAACAAAGGTTTAAACAAATGTTGGTCCCTATCTGGGATCTCTGAAGTCACTTTTAATGGACTTAGGGATTTTGCGGATTTAAAAAGCGATGACTGCTGTGTGGCCCATTTATAGACCTGTAGAGCAAAGAGAAAGAGATTAGTCATGCTGGGGACCTGAGTAGAAGCCGTTTTCAGTGAGCGGCCCCACTCTGCCTTGAGACTGAAGCTTTCTGACGCAGTTTCACTCTTGCGTTCCAGCGCCCAGATGAGAAGACAGAGAAGGTGGAAGAGGAAGGGAGGGAGGGGGTAGAGCAGCAGCTGCCAACTCTCCCTGAGCAGGGGCAGAGTGGTTCCTCCCAGGTGGGCAAGGTGGGGGCTCCATGGTGCGCTGGGCAGGAGTGGAATCTATGCGGGAGGACTGCACCTCTGCTCCTCTGGGTGTGTGGCTTGGCCCACTCGAATCTCTTCCAGTGTAGACTCCGGGAGGGTACTCTGAGCTAGGAATGCCTTCCTGAGCCTGGCTGGCAGGGGCTCTGAGGCCATTCCTCCAGGCTCTGAGTGGGCGGAGGGGCATTTGAGCACTAACCCAGGAGCCAGGACCAGGCTGAGCCCACTCCTCACCGCCTGGTATAAGCCAACCCCAAGACCCTCCAGAACGGTCTCAGCATGGATCTGCCTGCCTCTGCTGCCTGATTGCTGCGCTCCTTCACTGGCCTTGGCCAGCGAATTCTCAGAATGTGCACAGGTTTTCCTGCTTCCTTACCTTTGCACACGTTTGCTTGTTCCCTTTGTCCAGAAAGTCTTCCCCAGTATATTCAACTCTCTTGAAATCGTCTCTCCTGCATGACTAGGATCAAGCCCCTTCTCCCATTGCTCAGCAAATGAACTCAGAGCGCTATGTTAAGGTCTTGTCCTAGCTCTGGATTATATGTCCTTTAAGGGTAGGGGCCATGTGTTTGTCACCTCTTGTCTTTATACACGTCGCATACTGCATACATGAAGGGAGGGGTGAGGGGCGACTGGAAGGGGCCTCTTTTTCTCCATGTGCAGGATGGGACTAGGCATGGCCGCCCCACAGGGCTGGTGGGAACTCCCATGCAATTCTGCCATGAGAGTCATCCCATCTCCTCCTCGACCGTAGGGTCTCACTCGTCAGCTGTCCTCTTGGGCTCCGCAGCCTCCTCATCCTGTGGTCCTTTGCAAATCTCTCCCCTCTGAAGCCATTCTACTCTTGACCCTGCATCTCTCTCAGCCCCACCTCATTTCTGCCTCCTCTGAGCAAATTGTCTTTCCCACCTTCCCAGCCCTCTGCAGACTGCTCAGCCTTGCCGGGGCATCATCTCCTGAGCTGCAGGGACCCACAGTTGGTGCTTCCGCCATTGGGAAATCTTTCCAGACTGTGCTTCCTGACCCCAGCAGCCCTGCAAAGCTGGTTTAAGTGTCCCGGTGAGCAGCTGTGTCCACCTAGGTTCACTCCCCACGGTAGAGAGTTCTAGTGCGCATCCATATCTGCTCTTTCCTTCTGCTGAGCACACAGGATATTCTGTCCTGCCTTTGTGGCAGCTGGGCTGGGAGCATAGTAAAGAGGGTTACTTTGCACCAAAGCATTGCTTAGCAGTGCAGGATCTTCCAGGACTTCCTTCCCCTTCCCCATTGATCATGGCAGCTTATAATAAAATGGAATAACTCAGGATGGAAAAAGCCTGAGTTACTGAGACACTGGTTGGGGGACTCTGAGGCCATTTCTCCCAGCCCTGAGCAGGCAGGGGACACTACTGAGCCACTGCCCTGAGAGTCACCCAGATCACCACAGGTTTCTGTGAGCAAGATCTAATCTTTTGTTGTGCCAAGTGACTAAGATTAGAGAGGTCTGTTACCACAGCATAGCCAAGCCTCTCCCCACTGATTTACGGATTAAAGAAGTGTTTTAAATGAATTAATGGCTTGGTAAACTGTAAAGCTCTGTGCACATTTTAGTTATTATTGTCAAAGTGTAGCAGGGCTAGGAACCTGATGTGTCTGGGAGCGTGGAGGAACGGCCAGGGTGTGTCATGGAGAAAAACTACCTCTCATGTATGATTTGCCAAGGGCTTGCCCAGGATCTGTTTCCATACTTTATCTCTGATGAAAGGTTATAATGAATCTGGTATCTGGTGCTATTGGCAGGAGATGGACCTTTCTTCCAGGTATTTAATTCCTGTGGTTGCAAAAGACAGGATGTATTTTTCTTGAATTTGCATGATTTCTCTCTTGCGCGCGCGTGCGCGCACACACACACACACACACACACACACAGCTACTGCCGATCTCTTTGGAAATGTGTAATATAATATTTTAATATCAATTTGATACTGACTGGCTTCGGACTCCAGCTTAACTGTATCTCTCCATCTTTGAGAGTGGTTGAAGGAAATCACAATATGGCTTTATTTCTTGAGCAAGAATCTGCTAATCAGTCACCAGATGGGGCTGTTCCCTCAAAGGTCTGTGTGCAGGGTTCTTAGGGCCTTTTCTTCTCAAAACCCTTCCCTCTTGGTCTCTTTTCTCCACAACTCTGCTTTAACTCATGGTGCTATAGGGAGAAAGTGGCCCCGTTTAATGAATAGTTGTGAGGTTGCTAGTTAAATAGAAGGTAGGTAAATGAACTGTTGTCTGGTTCTCCTGCTCCATTACTCACCTTAATGGCCCTCGAGAGATTCCCCTACTTCTCTCCCATGGGCCAGTGAACATCAGTGGGAAAAGAGGGGCCTCCCCACCATTGCAGTCCACCCTGACTCTTCAGAATGACTCTGCTGGGGAGATTGGGCTGGACCAGAAAGAGGTGTACAGCCTGGTTTGAGTCCCGGCCTGGACAGTTACTATCTGTGTGAAGTTGGTCATGATGGTTGCCTCCTCAGGATCAGATTCCTCACCTTTAAATGGGGCATCCATCATGGAGGACCACCCCAAGGGGCTTTGGGCCAAAGGATAATTGATGGAGATACAATAACTAAAAATGGAGATTTAGTTATCACTGTATTTGCGCTTTCTTTTTTCAAGAAGAGTCAAAGAAGGATGGAATAAAAAAGGTTCTTGCACACTCTTCCTTTTCTGGCTTTTTTTTTTTTTTTAAAGACAGAGTTTTGCTCTTTTCACCCAGGCTGGAGTGCAGTGGCTCAATCTCAGCTCACTACAACATCCCACCTCCCAGGTTCAAGCGATTCTCCTGCCTCAGCCTCCCAAGTAGCTGGGATTACAGGCATGCACATGCCTAATTTTGTATTTTTAGTAGAGACAGGTTTTCCCCATGTTGGTCAGGCTGATTTTGACCAACCTCAGGTGATCCACCCGCCTCAGTCTCCCAAAGTGCTGAGATACAGGTGTAAGCCACCGCGCCCCAGCCCTTTTCTGGATGTTTTGTTCAGCCCTTGAGGGGCTGGATTATGTGGGCAGAGGGAGTGGTGCAGATAAGTGGGCTTCCTAGGACTGGGGCTGGGGGAGGACATAGCTGCGAGTATATACAGGGAGGTGGCCCTAACCCTGGGGTCTGGGCTTTGTAGGGTTTCCAGGCTCAGGTGAGAAGCAGGGCCATTAAATAGCCTCAAATGTGAAAGGGACCAAAGACCCACGATGACACCCTTGAATGCACAGGCATCCAAGGACCTTTAGATGTCTGTAAGAGTCAGACCCAAGCAAGGTTGATGTCGAATTTCCAGCCAGACAGCAGGATGGGGGTTTGAAATGAGATTTAACTGATTTAAAGAAATAACTGATTTTTTTCTTTTTGCACATCCAAGCTTGTGAAGTGAGATTGTCTCTCTCAGTACTGATAAGAGCCTAATCAATGTGAGCTCTTGGAGTGTGTTTCATGCCCACTCACTCATGGTTGCAGCCATCCAAAAAATCAGATTCACAGGCATCTCTTCATTTTGTTATCCTTCACTCACCTTTGAATATACCAAAGGTCTATCGAGCCTGTAAATTTCTCTGTGGTCCAAGCACAAATGGGCCTCCCCCAGGCTCTGCTGCATGGACGGCCCACCTCTCAGGGTTTGAGAACCACCCACACCAGTCTCATGAGGGGGCCATTAAAAGCGCCATTCCTGGGTCCCCTTTAGACCCACAGAAGTAGACTCCGGCTGGGTGGTGGGTGTTGGGAATTTGCGTTTTAACAACATCCTCTATGAGCATCTCACACTCAAGAAACTAGTTAAGCTGTGCTCTAGAAGTGAAATTAAAGTGACACTATTATATCCCTTGCTGACATCTGAGAAGACAGATTTTCAGGGCAGCAGTAGCACTGGTTGTGACCATGTGATCAATTGTGACTATGATATTAATTCTGTTTTGTGCCATGGACTTAGCTGTTTGCATCCAATCCCACTTCTGGATATAAACTCAAGAGCCGTGATCGGACCTTCTCAGAGCTCAGCAGAACTTCACTGAAGGAATAAGCAGTGTCTGATACATGTCTGGTACCTGCCTGATACCAGGCTGATGGGTTGACAGTTGCATTACCTCTAATCCTCATGGCCATGGACCCTTGGGATCTATATCAAGAGTACTTCCTTTGTTTGCAAGATGCAGGTGCTGGCAGTGTCCAGTGGCTCACACCTGTAATCCTAGCACTTTGGGAGGCAGAGGCAGGCAGATCACTTGAGGACAGGAGTTCAAGACCAGCCTGGCCAACATGGTGAAACCCCATGTCTACTAAAAATACAAAAATTAGCCAGGTGTTGTGGTGCAGGCCTGTAATCCCAGCTACTTGAGAGGCTGAGGCAGGAGAATCACTTGGACCCAGGAGGCAGAGGTTGCAGTGAGCTGAGATTGCGCCACTGCACTCCATCCTGGGTGACAGAGTGAGACTCCATCTCAAAAATAAATAAAATAAAATAAGGTCCAGGTGCTGTCTGTTCTCTGACAGACCTATATGACAACATAAATCATGACCAAGTTACATCAATAGCAAAATTAGAATATTTTAATAGTAATATTATAATAGAATAAAGGTTTGGGAGGGCAAACCAGTCTTCCAGAATCTGAAGGTTGGCATCCATTGTTCATGAACTCAGCTGAAGGCAGTGCCTTCCATATTTTGATAAATTGCCGTGGGAAAGACCAGGATTAGTTGCAGGGAATCATTTTCCAAGCAGAACCATTTCAAATGCTAAAACTGTCCCCTGAGGTCACATGGAGCCTCCCTTCCTGAGTGAGATCTTTGGAAATAAGGTGGCTTTCGAAATAAGCCTTTCTGTAACAGTGGTTTCCACAAAGACTTCAGTCTCATGACATTGAACATTGTTTAGACATTGACATACATATTTTGGCATATCACCATATGAGGCCTTTTCAGAGGTGGCTTCTAGTATGCTTCTGGAGGGGGTCTTCCAAGGAGAGTGGCACTTAAGGGTCATATATGGCCATGACTCATACCCAGCTGCTCCAAAGGACATGATAAGCCAGACCTGTTTGGCAAAGGGCCAGATGCAGAGTCAGTCTGGGGGCCGTAGATGGCATGCATAGTCAGGTCAGGATCCTTCATGCCAAACCGTGGCTTCTTGCTCTCCCTACCTCTCCTCCTGCTCTCACCAACCCCCATGCCCCCAGTCCCACACTGCCCACCGCACACACCCTGGGAGGCCCTAATGTAAATGAGGCCCTAATGAAGTAAGTTAAGAGCTGAGGGAAGTTCCGTGGAGAACCCTATATTAGCACTGCTTTGTACAAAGTCAGTCTCCAATAAATATCATATTTGTTGAAGAATGGCTTCTTTGTTGCCTTCTGTCTCTCAACCTCTATCACATAGCGGCAGTGTCTTAACCCAGGCACCCACCTCTCTGGAGGCAGTGAGAAGAGGCTGAGAAAATGTTGATGGTACGAGCATGTCTGAAACCAGAAAAGCCAAGCTTACTGGCTCTGTTTTGGGGTCGCAGCTTGCCATCCAGTTGGTGACAGCGGATATCCACTCCGCTTCATCACTTGCCATCCAGCTTGGTGACAGTAGATATCTACTCCGCTTCATCACTTGCTTTGCTGACGTCTCAGACTGCCTCTCTACTCAGAATACAGGCTGAAGTCCAGATAGGGAAGTGCATGTGAACCCACCTCACCTGCCGCCAGGGAGGTGTGGGAGGTTCTTCCCATTACTCTGAGATGAGGGGTCTCGTCTCCACATTGAAGGGGTGGGAGGTTGGGCATCGGGACCATTTCATAGGCTTCCATGGGTCTTCACTATGCTGTAGCTTTCTTGGTTTGAAACGTACCCCAGAAAGACAGTGATAAACGTGAGGATCTAAGGACAGAAAGGTCCAGGGTTCCTATGAGCAGCATTTAGTTGACCCATCCTTGGGGCTTCTCAGTCCCTGCTCTGGTGCCTGCGTGCAGGTAATGGGCAGAGGCTGTACTTCCCAACATGGCAGCACCCAGAATGACCTCTAGGTACAGGAAGTGAGGATCTGAGGGGGAGGGAGCCAGCCCCTTGCATAGTCCGTGCTGATGCCAAACCCAGGTGCAAAGAGCTACAGCCAGGCTCCCCAGGCTCCCAGTGGCTCTGGCTGTTAATAACTCAGCCACCCGCTTCTTCCTCTGACCCCTGCCGCTCTGCAGGGCGCAGGCAGTCAGCAGGAGAGTGGAGCTGCCCGGCAAGGAGAGCAGATACCCTTTTTCTCTCTCTGTTTAGGACTCCCCCCAGGGCTGGTGAGGGGCCTGGCTGCCTCAGTGGCATCCTTGCTGGAGGACCCAGCACTGAAGTGAGCCTGGACATCTGAGGGCCCCTTCCAAGGGGCCAGGGAAGACTCTGCCCCTCAGCTCCGGCCCACACAGCACAGATGCACAGGGGCCCTTAGGAACCATGGGGAGGACTCTGAGAGGAGGGGGTAGGGAAGGCAAATGAGGACTGGGATTTTTTTTCTTGTTTAAAAATACAAAAAGGAAATGATGTGTTAACATTAGTGAATATAGGCAGGTATGGAAGAGGCAAGGTCCACTCTCTGGAGCAGGGCAGTGGCCTGGGCTGGGGTCATATGAGGCCTGCCTCCTTCTCCTGCACATTGTACTCCTTGTTCTTCGTCACCCTCCAGCTGATGAAGCAAAGTAGCAGCATGCCCAGCGCCTTGTAGCCCATCTGCAGGCCCAGGTACCTGTGGGCAGGAGGAGGCAGGACTGGTGAGGGAGGAACTCTGCAGCCCAGATCCCAGGGCCAGGACTGGTGAGGGAGGAACTCTGTAGCCCAGAATCCAGGGCCAGAACTGGTGAGGGAGGAACTCTGTAGCCCAGATCCCAGGGCCAGGACTGGTGAGGGAGGAACTCTGTAGCCCAGAATCCAGGGCCAGGACCAGTGAGAAGAGTGGAGTCACTCCCACGCTGGCCCATGGAGGGTGTGGGCACCATTCAGGTGGGGATTACTTTCCTAATTTCTTTGATCCAACAGGGAACAAAGCTTCAGGGAAGCAGGCAGGGAGCAGGCATGGGACTCCTAATCTGGTGCTCACCATCCCTCCACCAGCTCCTTCCAGAAGGCCAGAGGGGACCCAGTGGCCCCAGCCAGCCCCAGAGGGTCCTCTCCTCCAAGCAGAGTCAGAAGGAGAGGGGCATCTTCTCACTGCTCTCTTGGCCTGTCCCTTTTGCAGCCTTCTCTGCTGCTCCCATACCATTTCCAGCCCCTGTCTCGTCCCCTCAAGCCCACCTTCCCACTGTTTCTGGGTCATAGGACAACAACAGCAGGTGAGGTAGAAGGGGTCAGAACCCAATGGCACTGCAGCTGGTCTTGGCCCATTGAGGCAGGGTGCTCCCCTCCCCTGCCCTGGACCTCTGCCAGGATCCATGATGCCACCCCTCTGTCTCTGAGCAGCAGCAGGCTGGCCTCCACTGTTCCACAGCCGTGGGTTCTTCCTTGGGCTCCAGCCATCCCCACCCCTTCTTTCTGCTGCTGCCCCTTCCAAGGGCTTTTGGGTCATGGAAGCCCCTGAACATCTCACTGTGAGCCCTGAAATGCCTGTTCTAGTAGCCCCTGCTCCCTGTGCATGGCACGGCAGGCCCTCATGTTCTCTTCCCCAGAAGCCCGACAACCCCACAGTAGCTACTAGACACATGACTACTGTCCTGCCGAACCCACGGCCTGGCTCCGGGACACTGCGTGCTGGGCCCTCACCTGTCTCGGAGAGCGTCATTGTCGTAGTAGGCACAGGCCCCTCGCCTCCCCAAGCACAGCGAGTTCCACCGGATGCAGGAGTGGTCAATGGTGAGGCCATAGAGGGCTGGAGATGGCAGCCAAGCTGGAAGGGAGTTCAGAAAGCCCCAGTCAGGTGGAGCTGTGGGCAGAGGTGCCCAGCAGGAGTGGGAGACAAGTCCCCTGCATGGCTCACGTATGTGAGAATGGCTCTGCCCCACCCATAGGACTTACAGTGATTCTGGGAAGCAGAATAGCTTTCAATGAAGCCTGAGTTTCTCTTTCACCAGAAGTCTTAGAAGAGAAAAGGGACCTGGGACATTCTTTCCAGGCAGAGTGAGTCACAGGGGTCTCCTTGATGCCAGCTCAGACACCCAACATAGTTCTCCTGAGATCAGCTCAGAGTGGAGACACACGGGCCTCCACTGTGTGACGGGAGGCTCTAGAGGCATTGACTTCTCAGATCCTCATACTGGCCCCGAGGTGTGGGTGCTCGCCTTTTAGTGAAGAGGAAGGGGCTCTGGGCTGGCACACTGTTACACAGCCAAGAGAAGTCAAGGCTGGACTTTGAACCCTTGTTTACGGAGGTTCCAATCCCACGCACTTCCATCACACCAAGCTGCCCTATTGGATTAGACAACACCCACCTGCAGAACTCTCAGCACCTGGCTGCTCAGAGCTTCTGCTCCAGGCCCCGAACTTCCCAGCAACTGAGTGCTAAGATTTGGCTAATCAGGGGCTATGCTTTCCTGACTGTTAAATATTCCAGACGCCCCACCTGCCCTGTACCACTAGCTCCAGTTCTAGGCAGTCATGGACTGGGGAGGGGCTTGTCCAGGATTTATACCGAGGCTGGCCCATCCCATTCTCAGAACCATGGTGCTGAGAACAGCCACCCAGACTTTGTTACAGCCCTGTGAGCAGCTGCTTCCAGAAGAAAGACAGGCAATATTCCACCTGTGGCGCTGCCCAAGTGGAAAACTGCAAGAAGCAGCCTCTCTAGTCAGATCCTGCCCACTCCCAGGTCTCCAGGAGAATGGGGGGATGAAAACTGGCCAGAGTGACATATGACACTTCCCTGAATAGAAACAAAGTCCAGAACCATTTTCAACCCAATCCCAATGGGTAATTTTGAAACTGTAATAGAAAGTCCTTTTTTCTACCCAAGAATGGACTATGTTCTTGGGTGATAAATGAAACCCCTCCAGGACTGGGTTTTCTCACTGCGGTCCCACATTGAGTTATTTGAGCTCAAACGGAAAAACAAAAGGAGCAAGTGCTTTGAGCAGGGTGAGAGAGTCCTTGTTATCAAGGTCATTTTTGAGGTTGCTGGAGGAAGCAGGAAAGGGTGCTTTAGAGCCTATCCTAGCTGCTGGATGGGCTGAAAGGAATACGAGGTCTCCTTCCCAGCAGATGTTTTAGAGAAAGTTAAGTTATAAATGTAAATAAGAAGCTCTGATGATGATGGAGCCTCTGACGGGAGGACAGGTAGATCCTGCTGCCCTGCTTCCTCTGTGTTTATAATGCAGGCAGGAGGAACAGGGTCTGAAGGTGCTCGAAGGACTTCAGCAGGGACTAGAGGAACAAGAAATCCCACTGAAAAAGCTGGTTCTTTCCCATCATCCAAGCACTTCTCCCAACCTGGGGTTGGATTGGGCCCTGCAAGGGCTCCCACTCAGCTGGCCCCAGGAGGGACATCACCAACACATCCTAAAATGGGGATGGAAGCCACTACAGGGTGCAGTGTAGACCTGGCCCCTGTATACACAATTTCAGCATTTATGGTCAGAAACGACACCTGATAGTAACTGAACTTCCTCTTGCTGGAGTCTCCATATTCCCCTCTGTAGTTTGCACCCTTAATTAATACACCCTCAGTTCAATTAGGTCCCTTTACTTCTGTGTGCCTGTCATTACAAAGATCTATTACTGCCTTAAGTCTAGTGCATGGATGTGTCAAGAAGGAACAGCTGGCTGGGTGCGGTGGCTCATGCCTGTAATCCCAACACTTTGGGAGGCCAAGGCAGGTGGATTACAAGGTCAGGAGTTCAAGACCAGCCTGGTCAGAATGGTGAAAGCCCATCTCTACTAAAAATACCAAAATTAGCCCGGCGTGTTGGTGGATGCCTGTAATCTCAGCTACTTAGGAGGCTGAGGCCAATAATTGCTTGAACCTGGGAGGTGGAGGTTGCAGTGAGCTGAGATCCTGCCACTGCACGCCAGTCTCGGCAACAGAGCGAGACTCTGTCTCAAAAAACAAAAACAAAAAAAGGAAGGAACAGCCAGTGTGAGTTCAGGAATGAGCCTGCATTGTGTCCAAGCCCTCAGCCCAGGCACCCCAGGAGAGCTGGGGGTTCCCTGCTCCCACCTCAAGCTGCTCACCCTCCCTTGTGGCACTGCTGATCCCTTGTGCACAGCTCCATTCCTCTGGTGGGCTCTGGACTGCTTGAGGGTGAGCAGGACTCATCAGCAGAGGGCCCCTCGTGGAAAAAAACTTTTGCTGAATACCTTCAGGAGGAGTGAATTTTGTAAAATGGAAAGGAAGCCAGGGATGGGCTTGGCGGCTGCTCTGGCTGGGCAGGAATGCAAAGTTTTGTTCCTACAGTGAGTTTTGGGGGAAAGATTTGAAAACACCTGCCTTCAACACTCTATTAGGTATTCTCAGCTGTGTTCACTCTTCATTTTTCTTAGTTAGGAATGAATGCCATAAATGGAGTGTTTCCTAACCTCAAGCAATCTGGGAAACCATCCACGTGGGGTTTTGACATCTGCCATTGATTATGCATAGCTTCTCTTTGCCATGGTGATGAGATGGTGCTTTGTCCATCACTACCCTGCATCCAGAGCCTTCGGATGCCCCATCGCATAGGGCAGCTTTTTGGGACGAGGGGTTTTAACACTTACCTAGCAAGCGCATCAGCAAGAACTGCACCCCGATGGCAAATGACTTTTCCTCCTGGTTCACCACACTGGAAAGACAGACAGGAAATCAGCAGCACTCGGATTGAGGGCTGCACAATCCCTTGGGTCAGGGGCAGCCAGCCTCGGAGCAGGTCAGAACCGGCCCTCATGTGGCCTGACAAGCCCTCTGGCGACTGGGTTCACCTGGGCTGAATACTCTAGTTCTTCACATTGGTGGTTCTCAAAGTGTGGGCCCTGGCTCATCAGCATCCCCTGGAAACTTGCTAAATATGCAGATTTTCAGGCCCACCCCAGACTTACTGAGTCAGAAAGTCTGGGGGTGGGGCCCAGCAATCTGTATTTTACCTCCAGGAGATTCTGATGTACCACTGAGAACCACCGGCCTGTGCGATTTTCAGGGTTGCCCAGACCTCCCTTCAAGAGGCAGAGGGCAGTAGAGGCTAGGAGCAGAGAGAAGGATGCTGTGGGTATGTTGATAGCAGCAGGTCTGAACAACTCCCACAGAGTGTCTTATACCAGTAAAAGACAGCCCTGCTGCAAAGTGTAATTAGGGCCCTTGGGCTGCAGCTTCTGTGCACAGCTAAAAGAATTCCCCACTCCAGGTCCCAAGTTTGGCTTTAATGCTCTGCTTCAGCTGTCTGGAAATTCTTAATTTTTGAGCCAGGGGCTTTACATTTTCATTTGCCATAGATCCTGCAAATTAAGTCGCTGGTCCTGCCCCTAATCCTCTTCCTCCAAGAGAGGAAAATGTGTTTGGCTGAGGAAGGACATTCAGAGAGAGCTGGGGATGGCTCTGCCATTCCAGCTAAGGAGTAGAGAAAGGGACGACGACCCCACACAAGGTGGGGAGCCAGGAGCTGCCCAGCAGAGGCACCTGATGAGTGACTTGACTCCAGGACTCTCTGTCTCTGAGCACACACACTCCTGGTGGACGCTTGTCGGGAAGAGCCTTCGGTAGTAAGGGGACAGTGAGGAAGGGCACTCAGAAGTAATCCTCAGGTCTCTGCACATGGTTCGTTTCACCACCACCATCACGGTTCTGCTAGCAAACTGAAAGGGACCTTTTTCCAGCCCCCGAGGGATGGCCCAGTGAGAGAAGTACTCACTGGGGAATAGACAGGGGAAAAGGCACCCGTTGGGACCTCCGACGCAAAGTGTCTCAAATCCTGTTGTGTTTACAGGTCCCTCCAGTGGTCCAGTTCACAATAGATGCCTGCCTTGTCTTGGCCCTTGCCCTGGGCAGACTCACCTAGATTCTCAGTGCATGGGACTTGGACACCCCAATTTGACTTTTGATTGAGATCTTGGGCCCCTTCTAGTCTCTGTCCCAACTGGCCCTAAAGGAAAGCTGGCTTTCTGACCACTCTTTCTCCTTCCAGATTTTCAGCCAGGCTTCTCTTCCAGCTTGTGTTCCCATGACTTATTGGGGCCAGGACTCATACAAATAATGCTTGGGTCACCTACAAAGTCATCTTTTTTTCCGCTTGAGGCAGAGTCTTGCTCTGTCACCCAGGCTTGGAGTACAGTGGCTCAATCTTGGCTCACTGCAGCCTCTGCCTCCTGGGTTCAAGCAATTTTCCTGCCTCAGCCTCCCAAGTAGCTGGAACTACAGATGCCTGCCACCATGCCTGGCTAACTTTTGTATTTTTAGTAGAGATGGGGTTTCACCATGTTGGACAGGCTGGTCTCAAACACCTGACCACAGGTGATCTGCCTGCCTCAGCCTCCCAAAGTGCTGGGATTACAGGTGTGAGGCGCCACACCCAGCCTTCAAATTTATCTTCAAGCCTCTCCTTCACACTAAATAGCATCCATTCTGTCATCTTTCCCAGTGGGATTTATCTTTAATTCATTGTGGCATCCTCGGGCCTCCTCTGCATCCCCTACCCTTGCCCAACCTAGAAAGGAGAGATTTTCTAGAGAAGCCCATCCTGTGGTTGAAATGATGCTCTGTTCTTCATGACTTCCTCGTCCCTGGGATTTGACAGGATTCCTCTGGGAGGTGATTTGACAGGGATTGCCCATTTCCCTGCTATGTAGGGACTTGCCAGGGAGATTTCCTTACCCTGTCACCTGTCCTCCTCATGGCCTCATGTAGTTTTATGTCAGGGCTAGAAGGTCCAGTGCGGTCCATCTAACCCAAGGTGCAAGAGGGGAAGCCCACTGCGGAGTCTCAGGTGGAGGTGTCAGTACTTTGAGTGCGGAGGATGGGGAGCAGCAGAGAAGCAGGTGACAGCGGTGTCAGGGGAGGCAACACACTGTGGGCTACAAGTACCCCTGCAGCTTCTTGCTGAGTAAGCTAAAAATGCAAGGTCCTGGCTACTGTTTTTCTGTACCATTTCTCGGGGTTGTGGTTGCGATGGGCAACCCTGAGGCATGAGTTATCATTTTCCTCCAAGACCAAGAGCAGCCTTGCTTACTGCTCACCATACAAGTGGCGGCTCCTCTATGCTCAGTGTTCTTGCAAAGTGTACAGCTGGGCCTCTGTGTGTTGCCCCTGTAGGATTTGGGGGGCAAGGATAACTGACACACCCTAAGTCGTGTGCTGCTTTCTGTGCTGTAATAAAGTATTTTGTCTTTGACCCAGGAGACTCACATCTTCTGCCAGCGGCCTCGAAATGGTAGTTTGATAGCTTTCAAGCTAACTTGATAGAAATAGGGTAAAATCCCAGATCCCCATGGCTGGCTGCATCCACTCCTTCCGTTTTTCCTGGACTTCTGGGGGAAATAGGTCCTAGACACCTAGCTAGCTGTTTATTATTATTATTATTATTATTATTATTATTTGGGTAATAGTGATAATTAACCAATATGTAGAACACCTTATATTTACAAAGCAATTTACCATACAATCCTGACACCAGCCCTTTGAGGTGGATATCATTACCACCATTTTGTAAATGAGGGGAGGCTCAGTGAGCTTAGAAAACACCCCACCACAGCCAGTATGTGGCACATCAGGGACTTTGATCCTGGCACCGGGAGTGCAAATCCTGTGTTTTTCCCCTCTCTGCCCTCGAGGTGAGTGAGGACAGCAGGGAGGGCAGTGGGGTTGGGTTAGGTGGATTTGGTACAAATGTTGTTTTCTCCTTGCAGCCAGTGAGGTGAAGAGCGGGTCATTCCCAGTGAAAACCTCAGAGGCATTCATTGCCAGCTGCCAGCTGTAACGTGACACCCCGCTCCTCTCCTCCAGCCCCAGCTAGCCGCTCCCTTCCTGACCTGGGGACTTGGTCCTGGAGCCAAGCATACTAGGATTTTCTCATTTTCATCCTTTTCCATAGCTCTCACTCAGACTCTGAAACTTTCCACATTTTCCTGCCTTGCTTTTATGTGTTCAACTAAATTCTCTTTGCTCTTCTCATTTCTTTTAGGATTTAAAAATAAGTAAATCCATAGGTTTTTCCACAGTGTGGGGTTGGCAGCCTGGCTTCCACACGTGGCTCAGCCATTCACCAGCTCGGCCATACTAGGCTAGTGATTTAGCCTCCAATGTGCAGAGTGGAGGTGCCAACAGGGCCTGTGCCACACGGATGGACGCTGTGGGACTGAATGAGGCCCTGCAATGAGAAGCTCAGCACAGAGCATGCTGGCAGGGCTCCCAGCACTGCTTCTGTTAGTATTATTTCCCCTCTGCAAAAGATCCTTGCACATTGTCATTCAAAGGACTCTGAGGGCCAGAAAGTGGGAGAGATGAGAAATAGGCAACTAGGCACAAAGTCAAAGGGCGATGTGGGGAAGGAGAAGCCATGCCCCAGACCCTCAGGGGTGCCACTCACCGCAGAACCATCATGTAGAGGGGGTTGTGGGAGATGCAGGCTATCAGAGACACGAAGGAGATGAGGAAGATGGCCGGGAGCAGGAAGTGGGCACAGGGGGAAGGGCACGATCCCGTTTTTGCTGAAGCAGATCCCTCAGTCACACAGCTGCAGTTCAAATAGATCTTGAAGAGGAAAGGGAGGGAAGGGGGGAAATTTGTTATTATTTCACTTTCGCACACTTCAGACATCTGCACCAGCTCTTGATGGAGACTTAGGTTTCAACCCTTGTGTTTGGATCTGGTTCCCAGGGAAGCTGGGTGAGGCTGAGGAGGCCAGGTGAGGGTTTCAAGCTGCCCCAGGGGTCCTACCTCTGTTACTGGGCAACAGAAACTGTCTCTGGGGTGGACTGGGCTCCTCCAGAAGCCACACCTGCATCTGGAGGCCCAGGAACACTGCTGGGAGAGGCCCCCACCCAGCTTGGAGCCAAGGGAACCAGGAGGGCTCTCCTTTGGGTCAGGCCCCCTGTGCCCAGCAGTGGTGGTTTTACAGATTGTTGTTTTTACTGTTTGTGTTATTATTATTATTTTGAGATGGAGTCTCACTCTGTCACCCAGGCTGGAGTGCAGTGGCATGATCTCAGTTTACTGCAACCTCTGCCTCCTGGGTTCAGGTGATTCTCCTGCCTCAGCCTCTTGAGTAGCTGGGATTACAGACATGTGCCACCTGTATTAGGTCCAAGTAATTTTTGTATTTTTAGTAAAGACACAGTTTCACCATCTTGGTCAGGCCAGTCTCGAACTCCTGACCTTGTGATCCACCCGCCTCAGCCTCCCAAAGTGCTGGGATTATAGGCATGAGCCACCATGCAGGCCTATTATTGTTATTTTTTGAGTCAGAGTTTCATTCTTGTTGCCCAGGCTGGAGGTATGTTCTCAGCTCACCACAACCTCCATTTCCCGGGTTCAAGCCATTCTCCTGCCTCATCCTCCGGAGTAGCTGGGATTATAGGCACGTGTCACCATGCCCGGCTAATTTTTTGTATTTTTAGTAGAGACAGGGTTTCACCATGTTGGCCAGGTTGGTCTCGAATTCCCGACCTCAGGTGATCCACCTGCCTCAGCCTCCCAAAGTGCTGGGATTACAGGCATGAGCCATTGCGCCTGGCCAGCTGTTTGTTTATTGCAGTGGGAGGCGTAAGCAGTAAGAGGGCAGTGGGAACACAGTGGAATTAACTGAGTTCTGAATCTGTCAGGCCTTTGCTGGAGCTCCCTGCCTGGGAACAATTCCTTCCTATAAGGGACTCCAGAGAAGGCAGCCCCTGTCTCCACTCTGCAAGTCCATATGGCTCAATACTGTTGTGCAACTCGGGTGGCCACTGCCCTTGTCCAGTGGTCTTCACCTTACTGATGGCCCAGCCTGTGACCATTTCAGTGTCCTAGCAGTTACGGGCTAATATTGGAAATAATGGACTAGTATGTTTCCTTCTATCAACAGTGGTAACTATGCACCCTCTTCACTTGGCTCCCAGGAAACTTCAACGTTAGTTATATACAATATTGCTGTTACTTGTTTCAGTCTGGATTTTTTAAGTAGAGATTTTTTTTCTTTATAATTTACTGATTCTTTTCTTGGCATTTTGCTAATGGATTTTTGTCTGGAGGTACGTATGCTGTTACGGGAAACTTGCCAAGATTATTTCTGGAAGTAGGTGACTCAGAGGTAAGTTAACAAAGATAAGAAAACCACAGAAGCTACCACAACTGGAAGGCAACTCATAGAGCATCTTGCCCAAGTTCCTTGTCCTTCCTCTGGCTGAGAGCCACGCTCCTTTGCCCGCAGAAGTGGCAGTGGCAGCAGACTTGCCCTGTCCTTTTGGAGGAGGTTGGTAAGTAAGTGCTAGCCTTGCCCATCCCTCCACACAGGCTTAAGGGAGTAAGGCATGTTCTGCTTATGCTAAGTGCACAGTCTTCTCATTGCTCAGCAGTTCCCAGGCCTGGCCTGCCCGGCTCTGGCCCCTGGCTGCTCCCTGGCCAGCTGGGCGTGACACTCCTCCTGCGGCACCAAGCCTGGCCTTTTCTCTTCTTTCCTGCAGCATGCCCAGTACCCTCATGTCCTCGGGACTTGCACTTGCTGTTCCATTTATCTGGAGTGCGTTGCTCCCAGGTGCGCATTGAATTCTGTTCTTCTGGTTGTTCAGTTCTAATGTCACCCCTCCAGGAGGCTCCTGGGAACTCTCTGTCTGAGTGGGTCCTTCCATGGCATGGGTCACTTTTTAGAATTATCGTATTTATTTGATAGAATGCGCACTCCATGAGAACAGGGACCTTGTCGGATGGGTTCACCCTCACATCCTCAGCACTCACAGCTGTGCCCAGTGTTCCCCGTTTATCGAATAACCAAACAAATGACTCAAGTTGGTTTGCTGCTGGCTGATCCTAGGAGGTCTGGAGCCACAGAGAAATGGGCTTTACTCTGCCAAGCGAGTCCAGTGAATGGAGGTTGCTCAAGTGGAAGGCTGGAGTTACATGGCTTTGAGTAGAAGTGCCCCAGACTGAGGCAGAGCCGGGGGTTCTAGTCCCAGATCAGCCCTAAATAGCTGCATGACTTCAGGCCAGTCAAGTGGCCATACCTGGGAGCTGAGGGGCTGAACCAAATGCCGTCAGCTACTGTTTCTGGCTCTGCCCTTGATTTATCTGGACCATGGCCAGACTGCAGGACTCAGAGATGCCCATGAGGATCCCTAGGATGGAGCTCAAAGGCCTTAGCCGAAGGAGTGCTTTGACTGGTTTCTGCTCTGAGCATTGTGAGGCTCAAGTATGTGAATTTGTTGGATATCAGCCAGTCTTTAATTGACTGTGGGCTGTCAGCATCTGGTCATGACCCCCAGGGTAGGGAGGTAGAGAGAGGTTGGATGTGGCTCAGAGGAGGCCAGGATGCTGGTAATGAGTGTGTGTGGAGCCCCGCCTATCCTGGAGCCGAGGAGCAGTCTTTGAGGGCAGTGCACTGAGCTCCGAGACCCCACAGGGCTCTTGCCTCTGGACCCTGACTGCCCTTACCACTTGCTTGGAGGTTGCAGAGCTCATGTTGACATTGCTGCAGCCGGCGTGGCAAGGGGAGAGGTACTCGATTCCATTGTCCCCACAGACCGGGTGGAAGATAGAATCTGGACACGAGCAGTCCCTGCGGCAGGCAGGAGGCTGCGGATGTGCAGGACTTGATGTGCTGCCAGCAAAAGAGGAAATGGGGAGTCAAACAAAGCAAGACCAAAGAAGAACCCTCCACTCCAGCCCAGTGTGAGTTCCATCTCTATTTATTTTGGGCCAGCGCCACCCTGGGATCTGAATTGTGCCTGGTGGAGCCAACAGTGAATTTGCCACTGTTTAGTGGTCACGGCATCTCTCCATGTCTTCTGCCACTCGGAGCCCAAACCTGCCAATTATGTGCTGGGAAGGCCTGGCTGGTGAATCCCCTATCACAGTAGGCATCAAGACAACCAACCAACCAGCCAGGAAGGGCAGCGGCAACGGGCAGGTCACGGACGGTATTCACCTTCCCTCTGCTTCAGCCTGAAGACAGTGGCTGGGACCACTGAGGCAACCCAGGCTTTAGTTTGCTGTCTCCTGGCTTACTGTAGACCTTACCCAGGTTACTCCAACCCCTTGAGCTTCAACTGAATGGATGTCACTCATTGGTCTCAGGGTTCCCACTGTCCCCCCCATATCTGACATTCATGACCTTCTTCAGGGAGGGTTGGGAGAGGGGCTGACAGACCACTGTCCAGATATTTCACTAGTATAATGATACGAATGAGAGTTCATCTCATGTGCCAGGCACCTGCCCAGGGCTTTACATGCACAGTCATCACAATGAGTCTACAGTGAATAACTCGCCTTTTGTGGATTAGAAAACCAAAGCTTAGATAAGGTAAGTAACTTTCTCCAATGAGTATGGAGCTCTGGTTTAGAGTCCAGGCCTATCTGATGACAAAGCCATGTGCTAACCTCCCAGTGGACGTAGCCAGAAGGCCCAAAGGCCTCTCAGCTTTTCTCAATCCACAGTCAGCCTGCAGAAGTGCGGGATAGACCAGGGTGGGCTCCCCACCCCGAGAAACCCTCTCTTCCCTCAAACCCCTTCTCTCCTTCACCCACCAAGACAGAGGAGGTCATTTCAAAGAAAAATAGAGAAAACACCAAGGCTGAAAGTACAGCATCTCCAAGTACTGCAACTACATTAGGCAAAGTCTAAAAGGAAAGGCTGTTGACAGGTGGCACCAGGAAAAAATAATGAAAATTCCCCTTGCTTGGCATCTTCCCCCTCACAGGGCTCTGAAGCTCTTCCTGAACATAAAGCCAGTTAACACTGTGACCCGTATTGCTGTCTGCACACCAACAGGCAGACTTTACCTGCTCTCCTCTTCACCTGCCCTAATTTTTCAAGTCTGCCATCACTCTCATTATTCTTCTCCAGATCTTTTCAAGTCTCCTTTCATCTCTCTTCAGCAGCTCAATGAAACTATAATTCTAGCCAGCACAGAACTGATGCTAAACATAGCTTATTTCCTGGTTCCTGTGGCTCACAGCTCTACAAATTCATCCTGAAATCAAACAAATTAGTTTTCGGTGCTTCTTAAGAAAACAGAACTCTAACCCTGATTGCTGGAGGCCCAGTAGGAGCCTTTGATCTCTTCTCATAATGGAGCATACCATTCAAGACCTGATTTTCTAAGTTGCCACATGAGAGATCAGAACAAAAGTGGGCCAGTCGTGGTGGCTCACGCCTGTAATCTCAGCACTCTGGGAGGCCGAGGCAGGCAGACCACTTGAGGTCAGGAGTTCATGACCAGCCTGGCCAATATGGTGAAACCCCACCTCAACTAAAAATACAAAAATTGGCCAGGTGTGGTGGTACACACATGTAATTCCAGCTACTCAGGAGGCTGAGATATGAGAATCGTTTGAACCTGGGAGGTGGAGGTTGCAGTGAGCCAAGATTACACCACTGCACTCTAGCCTGGGCAATGGAGCGAGACTCGTGTCAAAAAAAAAAAAAGTGTACAGCAGAGAAGACAGTTGAGGAAGCAGGAAGGAAGGTGTATAACAGCCAGATCTAGGCCCTGGCCTTAGCAGAGGGCCTTATTCCCATTACCTAGGGGGATAGACTTCAGCCACAGTCTGGGTGGAGCACCCCATGAAGAACAGAGGAACACAGAGGATCATGGAGATGGTGATGATGGTGGTGGCTACACGGGGGATGGTTTGCAGAGAGAAAACGAAGCGCTTCATGAGGATTCCTCCAAAGAGCATCCCCAGGGCTGCAGCAGGGAGGTTCACAGCACCTGTAGGTGGAGAGAAGGAGGTGATCCGGGTGCATGGGTTTGGGCTGCAAACACTGAGCTGGATCACTGAGAAGGAAGCATGGCTTCAGGAAGGAACATTTGGCATGTTAAATTATAATAGTAATAGCTGACATTAAGTGAGCACTTACTGTTTACCAGGCACATCCAGAGAAATATATGAGACAGGATTGCCTTGTCTAGACAAAGGATACAGAAGTGGAGTTCTTGCAGCTTAAGAGATGTGGGTTTTATATGCATTTATCAAGTACCTTTGGTTCCTTAGGGCCTCTCCACATCCTCACTTGTGACCACATGGGGTTAGCAACATGAGAGTGATGACCACTATGTACCAGTTAGAGACGGAAGGCCAGAGGCATAAAGTCAGAGCCAAGGACCATCCAGGGGGTGCAGGGGAGTCACCCTCAAAACTCATGCACTGATCACCTTGCCAGCTCCATATGGTTAAACTCACCTGTGGGTTGGGCCCAGTGATTTCCTAGGGTACTTGGTGGGACCACATCTGTAGTTCTCAACACAGCTGAAAAAATACTAATGCTGGGCCCCACCTCCAGAGATTCTGGTTTCATTGACCTGGGGTAGGGCTGGGCGTCTGTATTTTGTAAAGCTCTCCAGAGAAGCCTCTGGTGCAGCCTGGGTTGAGACTCACTGGACCACATGCTCTCTAACCAAAGCAAATACATTCAGATCCCTGGGGAAAAAGAGAAAACCCAGGAGGCATTCTGTCTGACCTCAAATTCAACCTTCCCTCTTTCCTGTTTTGTCCCTGATGATGTCAGGGCCTTTGGGAAGCTGTCAGACTTCCAGCCCCTTGACGGGGAAGAAGGCAGCCCCCAGCCTCCACCCACTCCTGCCTGGAAGGATGGGAGTCAGTCAGAAATCTGCCAAGAATTTTCTAGATTGCCAACCAGGAAAACTGTCTTTAAAATTCTTTCTCTTGGGCAGTCCTCCGGCTCCTGCCTATGTCCGGTCTGGCCTGCGCCCATCCCTGGATGGGTGGTTGGAGTGCCTGCTGCCCGGCCCCTGCAGCACCCTCTGGGCTTACCGATGAGGAAGTTGGCATAGGCTGCTGAGGTGCCATACTGCTTCTCCAGGAACTTGTTGAGGAAGGTGGAGAGGCCAGCAATGACGGAGGAGAAGGTGCACTGGGCCAGGACCACCAGCACGAAGAGCGGGTTCATCAGGAGCCTCAGAAAGATGCGGGGAAACCCTGTGAACAGACCACCGTTAAGGGCTGGCTTCCCTGGCACCCCTGCCTGCCCCCTCCTTCTTCGCAACTATCTTTTCTTCCTTGGAGCAGAATCTGAGCACCAGGATGTCCTGTGACCAACATAGGGACACACAGCCACATGCTCACAGGCTCATAGTGCCTAAAGAAACCGGGTGGTGGGCAGATAGAAATAAGATTAGCACTGGAAACAGTCTCCTCACATGCCTGTCACCTCCACAAGAGGGGAAGAGGGAGAAGAACATGGGGCCAGACTGCAGAGTGGGGGTGGGGGACTGACCCAAGTTGAATTTGGGTTTCTTGGTACCTGCGAAGTAGTAGTCACCAGGATTCCTGGCAGAAACCCTGGGCCGCAGACACACCTAGGGGATGGGCCAGTTACAGGCCATCTGCTCCTACTGCCTCTTACCACACACACTACAGGGGCTGGGGTCCCCTGACTGCTATCCCCTTGCCTGCACTCAGCCAGCCCACCCAGGGCTGTAGGGTCAGTTACGTTTAATGAAATCCAACAGGGAGCCTCTTGACTTGGCCTCCTCCAACTTCCTTGCTTCGTCTGCTGTGGCAGGAGCCCTCTGAAGACAATAAAAGGGATGAGCGTTCATGGCTCAGGCTTACTGCAGCCACCCTTCCCTGAGGCTCTTGAGTTTCTGGAGGCTCAGGGCTAGGCAGAGGTGAGCTGCCCCAGGCGTGTGTACATGGGAGGGCATCCAGAGAATGCTCTCTTGAAGTAAACAACACCTGCATTTCTGTGAGCCTGGTATTTTGGCCAAGAATCAGAACACATCTATGCCAATGCCTCCCACGATACCTGTGAGCATATTATTTCATATCTAACTTTCCCATGACTGATGCCAAAGGTGTCTTCCTGGACCCCACCCCTCACCCCCATCTGTCATGGTTATACTTCTCCTCTATCCTCAGATTCCAGGGGATATTGGCTTCTGGCACACTCTGGTATAGAAAGCCATCTGTTTCCAACCCCACCCTCCTCCCCCTTTCTATCTCCTCTCTGGGATTCTTGCTCCCTCCTGAGCCCAAAGGTGAGCGTTGCTCAACACTCTGTCTTAAACCTTTACCTGTACTTTCTTGGTATACTACCCCAGGGAACCTTCCTTCCTCATCTGACCTTGTCAGCTCCAGCCTAAGGCCCTGTAGCTCTGAACTGCCTTTCAGATGCCTTTCAGGCCCCTGGGCTCTGACAGCCTTAGGAGCCTGCTGGGAACTCATCATCTCCAGAAATAGGCTCTCCCATTCACTGAGAGCTTACTCACTGCTGGGCCCTGTGCCCAGTGTTCACGTGCTTTGTCTCATTCCTCACAACTCCTTCCCATATCGCTACTCTAATTGGCTGGAGCACTGTAAAGAAGAGGAAGCTTAGGAAAAAAGAAAGTTGGCGAAGATCACTCAGCTAGTTTATTGATTTTAAAATTCTTTTCTTTTCTTTTTTTTTTCTTTCTCGTTCTTTCCATCCTTCCCTTCATTTCTTTCTCTTTCTTCTTTCTTTCCTTCCTTCCTTCTTTCTTTTCTCCCTCCTTCCTTCCTTCCTTCCTTCCTTCCTTCCTTCCTTCCTTCCTTCCTTCCTTCCTTCCTTCCTTCCTCCCTCCCTCCCTCCCTCCCTTCCTTCTTTCGGCAGGGTCTCACTCTGTCATCCAGGCTGGTGTGCAGTGGTACAATCATAGTTCACTGCAGCTTTGAACTCCTGGGCTCAAGTGATCCTCCTATCTCAGTCTCCCAAGTAGGTGGGACTACATGCACTCAACACAATGCCCAGCTAAGTTTTTAAAATATTTTTTTTTTGTAGAGATGGAGATCTCATTATGTTGCCCAGGCTGGTCTTGAATGCCTTCATTCCTTCCCTACCCACCAATCTCAACCTGGACTTAAGCAATTCTCCTGCCTTGGCCTCCTAAAGGGCAAGATTACATACCCAGCCAAGTCAGCTGGTTTATAAATAGCAGAGCTGCATTCAAACCCAGGTCTGCCTGACCCCAGCACCTGCATGATGTGCTGCCAACCTCTGAAATTCTTTCCCAAGACAAGCTGAGGTCCTCTCACCCCTGCCCCTCTTCCCACAGCTGGGCCTAGATTTTATATACCTCATGGACAAACACTGAACTCTATTCTGTGGCTTGGAGCCTAGGCATAAACTTTATTTCCTCCTTCTCATCCAAGCCAGCCCACTGCTGAGCTCTTCTGGGCATCCACCCTAGGAATGTCCATCCTTATCTGTGCCCTGTCCCAGCTCTCCAACAACCACTGCTGCATTCCCCATCTCTCACCTGGCCACTGCACTGGCCTCTTCAAATCTCTGGCCTCCATTTCTTCCCTACCCCCAACCTCAACCTAGCTGCCATATTGCCACCTGAGTGGCCACCCGGTTACTGCAGTGCCCCAGAACATCATGGAATTAGAACAAGCTTTAGACCCTTCAACTTAACATCAAGCCCCTACCCAGACTTCTCTTCCTTGCTCTCCATTCTCATCCTTGCTCTCATTCTCATCCTTCCCTGATTCCTTTCCCCAGCAGGTATGGCTGGAAGATGCTTGGATGGTCCGCTCAAAATACCCCTGCTCAAAATATACTCCAATCTCAGCCATCCTCATACTCTTCAATGCTAGGAATCCCTTCCTACTCAGTCCTTCAGGTTCAAACATTGATAGCCCTATTAAATGTAAAAGTTGACTGTATCAGGTCACAGACTTGGCTTTTATTGGCTCTTAATTCTCTAGCTCAGTTTAGATAAACTCATTGTTTCCCAACTGTTCCCTGGAGGTCTCCTGAACCTTGAGATGCTAACATGGTAGGGGAACATGGAAAAGATACCAGCTTTTGGAAATTCACCAGTACCCTCATCTCTCAAAGCCTCTGAGAAGTCCTGCATCATGAAATTTGTTTAGATTTCACCCTGAATTTGCTTAACATGCTGCAGCTTTTTACCTCTATCTATTTTTTACCCCCCACATCCCTTTCTGAAACTCCAATAGGTAGAGTCATGGGCTCTTGGAACCTTACCTTTGTTCCTCTGGGCATTGCTCGGGGGAAGAAAAAAAAGGGGAAAGAGGTGAGAACCAAGAGGGCTGAAGAAATGAGCAGGCCTAGCCACCAGGCTCCAATCCATCGGGGGTCACCCGGGACCAAGTTAACTGCAGCTGAAGAGAAACCAAAGGGCGCAAGTGTTTGTTGAATGCATGATCTCACCTTACTGGAAATAGAACCTCTGATCAAGGGGAGTTTTACTGATTTTCTCCCCACAATGGAGAAGAGGCAAGCCATGAGCTAGATTTTTGGTCAAAACAATGTTCTCTCTCCCAGCTATTGGTCTTCCCAGAGGACCAAGGCCACTGCACACGAAGCAGGGCATCAGAAAATCCCCAGGCAGGAGGGAGCGGTACCTTCAGCTCCTTATTCAACTCCCAGCCCTTGGCGGGAGTAGTGAAGATGGGAGCTGACTCTCACAAGGGCACACCATGGGGCAGAGCCTAGACCACATGCTTTCCATCTGTTTTCCACTGGGTTCTCCTAGCAAGTCTGTCCACCTCTCACCAGTCAAGAAACTGAGGACAGACGGGGATAAGTCTCTTGCCTCAGGTTAAGGCTAGTATGTGCCATTTAATTGTTCAATTTCAAATCTATGTCTTTCTGGTAGGCAAACCTGCCCTCTTAACCATTAAACTCTACAGCCTAAACCTAAAGAAACAACCATCAGTTGTTAGGCTGCCTGGCTTCCAAAGCAGCTGCTTCCTCCTGGCAATTCTTCTGCATACAAGTAGAAGTCTGCCATTGTGTTTCTCTGTGTGAAGAAACTATCTAGGCATAAAGGGAAGGAGTAGGTGGCAGAACGGTTCAGTCAAATCATGATAAGCATCCCTGGGCACTGCCCTGAGTGTACTGGGTGCTCAGTTGCTGGTCTCTTTGGGCAACCAAGAGCCAGGAACCAATTCAGGAAGTGCCAGCAAAAGGACAGAGAGGGCTTGATGATGAGGCATAAGACACGCCCTGGCTTCCACTTTCATTTGAAGTACAGCCAAATGACACCATGCAGATGGCACTGCGGTCTGACAGTCCTGGGGACAGGAGTTGAGGCTCTAACAGCATGGTTGCGACCAGCACCTGCCAGATCTCTGTGACCTGACCTGTGTGCAGGGCACTGGCTCAGTCCTGCCTTTTAGCCACACCTTCAGTCAAGCTGGAACTTCACATCCCACCCACAAGCTCCCCACACTTACCACCCTTCAGCACTTCCCTCTGTCACGGTGCTGACCTTCCCTGGCTTGTGAGAGACTGGGTATTGTGGGACACACTCACAAAGGCAGGAAGCCGTTGCTGGATCCATCCTGGGCTGTCTCCCTGAATGGTTAACTCAGAACTTATGCCAGTGTCTAGGGACTATGTCTTCTCATCCCTACCACTTGTTGAAGAATACAAACTCATACCTGTTGACTTCTTAATATACATCAGGCTTGTTCTGATCTTTACAACTTTATTTTACTACCATTAGCTCCATTTTACAGATGAGGAAACCGAGGCACAGAAAGACAAAGTTACTTGCCTAAGAGCACTTGCCTAGTAAGAGGTGGAGCCAGGATGAGACCGAGGCAGTCGCATCCCAGTTGCCCACACAGTCAAAAATCATGTTATACCCTCTGGATGTGAGTCATCATCCATGTATACATTTTATATGGTGTTTCTTTTTTTCCTCAAAAGAGCTCGTATTAAATCTTTTTTTACAAAAAGAACGAGCAACATCTCAGAATCAAAGAACTGTAGAAATACTTATGACGCTACCACCAAGCTGGGCAGCTGTGGTGGCAATACCTAAGGCCCTGCCCGAGGTCTGCAAACTTCTTAAGGGCAGAAAGTGAGTTTGCTTCAGCAGCTTGTTCCCCATAGGGGCCAGCATGGACCCCGAGAGAGGAGGCACACACTGTTTGCTCCTGGCTGTCCCAGGGACTGCAGGGATGGGTGAGCAAGTGAGGAGGTGGCAGAGCACATCTGGAGCTGAAGCTTCATTCTCTGCCCTGATTGGATGAGGGGACTGGGGTGGGGGCTGCTTCACTGAGCTGGGGATGGGAATGGGTGTCCTCTGCACACACTCACCTGTGTTGACCCTGCCGTAGTCCACAAAGATCTGCAGCATGACAGAGCCCAGCAGGTACCCAAAAGCCGGTCCAAAAACAGAGATGGCAAATAAGATGGCTGGAAATGGAAGTAAGGGGAAGGAGGCTGAGAGAAATGGAAAGATTTTGGCAGCCCTGGGCTGAGGGGCAGTCTTGAGATGTCACTCCATCTGTCCCCAAGCCTGAGGCCCACACCTATGGCATCTCCTATCAAAAAGGCCAAAACCACTCATTATCTCAAGACATAGAAAACCAAGGCTATTTCTACCTTCAGCCAACCTTCAAAGATACCTGCCTGCCAGGAAGGAAAGGAGCTCAAGGTATTTAAAAATGCCAGGTGATGCTCCTTGTGGGTACGATGCTGGGGCCCGGGAGGAGCTTGTGGTGCCACAGAGCCTGGGAGTGTGGTCTGTGGGTATGATGCTGGGGCCCAGGGGGAGCTTGTGGTGCCACGGAGCCTGGGAGTATGGTCTGTGGGTACGATGCTGGGGCCCAGGGGGAGCTTGTGGTGCCATGGAGCCTGGGAGTATGGTCTGTGGGTACGATGCTGGGGGCTTGGAAGGAGCTTGTGGTGCCACAGAGCCTGTGAGTGTGGTTTGTCTGGTCTGGAGTATAGGCCCTGAGGATGTTCAGGGTTTGTTTTGTTTTGTTTTTGTTTTTCACACAGAATTTTGCTCTTGATGCCCAGGCTGGAGTGCAATGGCACAATCTTGACTCACCACAACCTCTGCCTCCTGAGTTCAGGCGATTCTCCTGCCTCAGCCTCCCGAGTAGCTGGGACCATAGGTATGCACCACCACACTCGGCTAATTTTGTATTTTTAGTAGAGATGGGGTTTCTCCATGTTGGTCAGGCTGGTCTCAAACTCCCAACCTCAGGTGATCCACCCACCTCGGCCTCCCAAAGTGCTGGGATTACAGGTATGAGCCACCGCACCTGGCCCAAAGTGGCTTGTTCTAAGGGAAGGATTTGGACATTCACATGGTCATCTGCTATCTGCTTTGCATGGCTTCTTTGAGACCAACCTGCCCCTAAGTGGATGTTTCAGTGCAGACATGTGTGTCCTGGCCTGTGCCTGGAGGACTAGACAGCAACAGTGGCTGCTGTTCGTTTAGGGTCTATCCAGGGCCCAACACCAGCTAAGTGGTTACATATGCCATCTCATGTACCCCACAGCCATCCAGTGCACAGATAATATAAGCCTCATCCTAGAGGTGAGAAACTGGAGCCCTGGCACTTGCCTCAGATCACACAGCTGACAATGGAGCTGACATTCAAACCAAGTCTGTCTGATCCCAGGCCTCTAAACTCATTTGCTGGGTCGTTAGCAAAGAGGGTCAGACCTCAGTTTAGTCCCCAGGGCCTCAGCAAGTCCTATATCAGGACCTTACCCCTCCCCACAGCCCTCTTCAAGCTGGCGACTCACAGATGTACAGGGGCGAGTTGCTGGGCTCTGAGAAGTCGTCCACATAGGAGATCCCAAATGGCTGAATAGGCACTGTCCCGATGCCAGCCAGCAGCTGGGCAACCACCATCAGGCCCCACATGCTGCTGGTCTCCTTCTGGGGGTTCTGGGTGGTGCTGTGGCACTTACTGGGAGGCAGGTCCTGCCAATGCTTCTGGCAGAGCTCGGCCTGCAAGCGGCTGTTGTTTCCTGCAACGAGAGTGCTTGCTGGTCTCTGCCACCCAGATCTTGTGGTTCCACCACTGGCCTCCAAACCTGGCCTTTCTCCCAGGCCCTTTGGGGAAGGACCAACACTGGCTGTGCTAGCAGATAGGACGTGGTCCTCAGGGACCACATCCTTCTGTATGGCCAGCCGGAGGGACTCTAGAAACAAAGGTGAGAGTGGTGGAGTGTGGACTCCCAGCCCCAGGAGCTGCTGTTCTCAGGTAGAGAGAAATCTTCATCTTAGGAGTATCCATGCCTTCTTCTCCATGGGCACGGGTGGGGAGCTGAGCACAGAGAGGTCAGTACCTTCATCCATGGAGGAAAGGGGCACCCAGCTGGAAAAAGGGGGTTCCCAGATCGAAGCCCAGGCCTGTTGGCCTCCAGCACCCTGTGTTCACCCTGGGGTGCTGGGCCCCTAGGGTTCTCTTCAGCAGGACAGAGGTCATTCTGTTCTACCGGGATGGTGTCACCTATAGCCTGGGATGCATCCCTGGTTGTGACTCCCAGAGCCGTCACTTCTTAGCCCAGCATCAAGTCACACTGGAAGACCTACTGCCAAATACATTTAATACCCCTATCATTCCTAGGATGCTCCAGAACTTCTGATGCTGGGGGGCTTTAAGACTTTCTAGTTCAACCTCTCATATTACAAATGGGGGAGCTGAGGCTGCTTCTCAAGGCCCTTCAGTGAGGGTGCCAGACACCCTGGGTGAGGCCTGTGGGCACCACGGTTCCTGTGGCTATGGCCTTGCCAGTCTGGGCCGCTGCTTTCATGCCTCTGTTTTTAATTTGGTCCACGCTAAGCAATCAGCATTGTCAGCTCTCCAAGGCCTTGGGGGTTCTTGAGGTCTCCTTTCCGTGAGATCCCTTTTTCCTGTCTCATTCAGGCCAGTGGAAACTGCTGACGTCACCGATCTCACTCACTCAACGCTAAGGGGATTCAGTTTAATTCTCACTTGTGCTGTTCTGAGCTAGGTGAGTTTAAGTCCCACAGAGAGGAGAACCGAGTGGTGTAGACTAGCCCTGCTCCTCACACTGGACTCTGCCCGGTGCTGTTGGGCTCAGGGCTGCCCTTGATGGTGGGGCTGGGGAGAGGGGCCTGTGCTTTTCACTGCCCTTTCCCCTCTCCCCAGATGCACACACCTCATCCAGCCTGGCCCCACTGTGGTCTGCCCTCTACAGTGGTGCCTATGCAGGACACATTTGAAAGTTGCTGTCATGGGAGCTCCCCCATCAGTCAAGGAAGCCTGTCCCAGGAAAAGCAAAGGAAGCCAAGGCGTCTGTTTGGTCAGGGTCATCTAGACCTTCACTGTTGTGTTCATGGAAGGAAGCATCCAGGCAAGCAGCCAGGGACTGTGGTCAGGGTCCCTCTGTTACTCCCTCTTCTCACTCCATGTTCATTATCCTGAATTCAATGCAGAATTCAAATAGAGTACCCAGACCACATGGTGACATAATATGCAACCTTTCAGAATTAGGGTGAAAATATAGCCTTATTTACTTGGAAAGACAGCTGTTAACAGCTTGTTAGAATCAAAAAATAGTAACTAGTAGTTTGAAGAAGAGTATGTTCCCCAATTTATAAAACTTTTGTGGACTACTTGAGTATGCAGAGAAAACCTCTGGCAGATGATGGCTGTCTCTGGGTGATGAGATTGTGAGGATCTTTTTTTATTTGCCTCATTTATTTTGTAATTTGTCTGAAATGAACACATGGTATTTTGAAATAAAGCAACAAAGGTTTTAAATTAAAAGTTTTTGTAAATAAATATATCCAAGGCTTAACAATGTCTCTCCCATTTCTTCTTTGTCCCATTCTCATTGCCTTTCTTTCTGCTCTAGGCTGTAGGCCTGCAACAGTGGAGCCGAGTCTCTGCCCACCCACCCCATCAACCACAGTCTACCATCACCTCTCCCCTGTGGAGTGCTGGCCTCTGTCTGATTTACAGGCTCTACTGCAGAGATCCAAGTCTTTGCACCAGAAATGTCAAACCCCCATTTACTGACTGGGCCAGGCCCTGTGCCAAGGTTGTGATGTCTGTGGTCTTCTGCTCACAGCGGTTATTGTGAGCAGGAGACTACATAAGACCATACCTTACCAGATGGTTTGGGGGTAGAGCTGGGATTTGAACCTGCGTGTGTCTGACTCAAAGTCCAAACTGAAGTCATATCTGATGGCAGCTTGAAAAGACAGAATACACATTTTTCAGGGATGGAAGAACCTGGTGTGGGGAGATTTCCCCTGTCCCTAGCCACATTCAGACATATGAGCTTTCTGCCCTCTGTAGGTGGCTGGGACCATACGTCTACTTCCTCCCAGGAAGGGGGCTGGCTACCTGGATATGTGCTAAAATCTGGGACAATAAGATGAAATAAACATGGTACAGGGAGTTAAGAAATTGGCTTTATCCCTAGGTAAGATAAAAATTGGTTTTATCCCTATGTATTCTTGAGCAAGTTTCTAAATTTCTCTGAGCCTTAGTTTCCCTTGGCATAGAGACCATAAGTGGCCGGATAGAAAGATTCTCTATGTGTCATTAAAGAGATAGAAGACTATGGTTCCAAACAGAGGCCCAAGCTTGAGAAGCGAGACCCTGCCAGTCCCACAGCAGGTCTAGTGGCTGTGTCTGCCATCTTGAAAGAAGGCTGGTGCAGCTCAGTGATGCTGCGAGGGTCCTGGCAGCACAGAATTGTAAAACATTCCTGCTGAAAGACCACAGGGGCTATCAGCCCCCCTCCCCTCACTCAGGAATCCTCATATCAAATGGACCATTTCCAACACCCGGAAATGTGTGTGGAGCTGGCCAACTCCTGTGGATCCCGGGGTGAGGTCAGGGTGGCTCTGAGCAGGCAAGGCCAACAGAAGCTGGAAGGGCTGGACTGGGAGCCTGGGACCCAAATTTCCATGACCCTGAATTCGTGGCTCCCTATGTTGGTGATTTTGACTTTGAAAGATCTCAGAGGACTCCAGCGAAGGACCAAGCACAGCAGAGGGTGAGAGGCTGCTGGTGGATCTGGTGGGCAGAGTGTTGGGCTCACTGATCTCTCCCTGAGTGCAGCAACCAGGCAGGACACCCAGGGCTGCTGTCCCAGGTGGATAAGGGTTTTCTTGCACAGGCTATGCTGGTCTTTGGAGTGAGTGAGGGACAGGTAACAGGGCCCCATGCTCTTCTCAAGACCAAATAGGAAGAAGCCAGCTGCTCAGCTTGAGAAGTGTTCAAGCACTTATACAAACCCCCCTGACCTGGCATGGCCAACTGACTCAACACAGCTGTGCAGTCACTCAAAGAAATCAACATGCACACTTCTCTGCTAACTTCTCTGTGCCAACTTTGACTAAATGGATGCATTTCTGAAGGACCAATATATACTTTGCATCCATAAATAAAAGTGCTGCTGCCACATTCCAAGTGGGTATTTCTTTCTGAAGATTCAAGAAAATCTTGGCTATATAGTGTATGAAGAATGAACGAAGTCTGAGTTCCCTAAAACCTCAGGTTGCTGTCATTCACAAGTGTGCCTGGCTGAACCATTCTCCTTGGTATGACAGTGGCTGTCTGTGACATGTTGTCTCATAGGCTGCAGGGAGGCAGGGCCAAGTCTAAGTTATATGGGAGCACAGTTTAGAGCAAATCACAATACTTGGAAAATGATGCAAAGAATCAGCCTCTGTTCCCAGTTCAGCCACTGAAGGACCATGCCTACATCTGAACGGCTGTCCCCTCAGCTGCAATATGGGTGATGCCTGCTTCACAGGGGTAAAGGAGAACATGGAGTCCTGAAAAGGACCTGGACCGAGTTTCATTCATTCTTCAGACATTCAGTTATTTGGTTGATAGTGACTGTGGGTGGGTACTCTGCTTGGGTGGGAGATGTGGGCATGACTGAGAGGTACAGGCACTGCCCAAACAAACCCTTCGGCCCACTGTGGTACCCAGAGCATCAAAAAGGCAACTATAATATTGCTTTATCAAGTCAAAACTACAATGAGATATCATTTCATACCCATCAGGATGGCTATCATCAAAAAAACAGAAAATGAGTGTTGGCAAGGGTGTGGAGAAATTAGAACCCTGTGCATAGCTAGTGAGAATGTAAAATGGTGTAGCCAGTGTAGGAAGAAGAAGGGTGGTTCCTCAAAGATTTAAAAGTAGAATCATCAACACCAGGCATGGCGACTCGTGCCTGTAATACCAGTACTTTGTGAGGCCAAGGTGGGCAGATAACTTAAGCCCAGGAACTCAAGACCAGCCTGGGTAACATGGCAAAATCCTGTCTCTACTAAAAAAATAAAAAATTAGCTGGGCATGGTGATGCGTGCCTATAGTCCCAGCTACTTGGGAGGCTGAGATGAAAGACTGGCTTGAACCCAGGAGGCAGAGGCTGCAGTGAGCCGAGATTGCACCACTGCCTGGGTGACAGTGAGACCTTGTCTCAAAAAAATAAATAAATAAAAATAGAATCATCAAGTGATCTGGCAATTCCACTTCTGAGTATATACCCCCCAAAATTGAAAGCAAGGACTTAAAGAGTTATTGGTACCCCAATATTCAGAGCACTATATTCCTGGTAGCCAAAGGTAGAAACAAATACTCATCAACAGATGAATGGGTAAGCAAAATGTGGCATATGCAATGGAATATTATACAGCTGTAAAAGGAAGAGAATCCTGACACATGCTATAGCACAGATGAGCCTTTAGTACATTATGCTAAGTAAAATATGCCAGACACAGAAAAACAAATGCTGTGTGATTTCACTGGGATGAGGGATCTAAGATGTCAAATCTGTAGAAACAGAAAGTAGAATGCTGCTTGCCAGGGACTGCAGAGAAGGGAATGAAGAGGTAATGTTTAACAGATACAGAATTTCAGTTTGAGAAGAGGAAAAAATTCTAGGGGTGGTGATGATGATGATTGTATAACATTGTGAATGTACTTAATGCCACTGAACTACACACTTAAAAGTGGTTAAACAGCAAACTT